GCAGTCAGGCCACGACGGGCTGCTGCAGCAGCAAGAGGAACCAACATGCTGCTGTAGGATACCGTGTCACCGTCCATCATTTGAGCGGCAACCACAGAATGCAACCCGACACCAGTGTACCAGTCTGTGCGTAGGCTTTCGAGCCTCAGTTGTATGGCAACCGAAGCCCGCCCATTTCCTGGAGCATTATGACACAAGATACCACACCCCCTTGACCGATTTTCAAAGCTCGATTACTCCACGACAAAGAGGATGCACGAACGGAACGGTGCATTTTCGGAAAGCTCTCGATGAGACGTCTTCAACGCCGCCATTGTTGTCACTGTGACTCCTTTTGCTGTTGAGGAATGGGCCTTTGAAAATCGGTCCAGGGCGTGTGGTATCTTACAGTATGCCACGCACGGCATGTGTTACCATTGGTGNTTAATAGGTATGTTTCGGGTAGATCATTGCACATGTTTGATTTGCTGCTACTGCTGACCATTAACTGCTACTGCTGTTCGACTGCTGTTCGACTTGCCTGCCCCATGTTACTGCGACGCAGGCGCGGTCCTCTTCACCGACGGCAAAAAACTGTGGAAGCGGTTCGACAAATCAAGAAATACTACAAAATCAAGAAATACTACAAAATCAAGAAATACTACAACCCCGTGTGGGACAGGTGTGTCTGTCTGTGATTTTGTTTGTGTACGTGCTTGGAGCGGCATCAGTACAGCTGCAAGCCTGCAATTTTTTTTGTTGCGTTCCGTGTAGGGTATTTTCCTGTTCTCTTGTGGCGAGCACTGCTGTGAACGAGCAGTCGACTGCAACCACGCCCTCCCGAGAAAAACATTGTTGGCGTCGGCGGCGTAACTACTACTGTGTGTACAGTGGTGAGTAGTGCACGTACCTTCCGCCACAGAAGCACCGACGAACAACTCCCGTGGGCAATATACTAACTGAAGAAGCGAGGCCGAACACGAAGGAACACGGAGGGTATTGAACAGAGGAATTTGTTCTCAAGAATAGTAGTCGGTTTTACGAGAGTAACAATCAGTGATGTTGCGTATGTTTCTGTAAAAAACGCCCACATGCGCCCGTGTCTGGTGTGTTGTGAGCATCGAACGCGGTGCCTAGCGGTTTGATGTTCTTGTTTTTTGTCCGCGCACCAATGGAATTGCCGCACTACATTTAAATTTCGAACTGTCACGTGCCCTGATCACCATACATGTACTATGCGGACAACAGCAGTGTTGAACAAATGCTCAATCGCGTTAACAGCTGCTTGTGGCGGCAACTCGCTGGCGTTTCCCCCCTCCCCCTTCAAAAAAGCATCATAACACCACCGGTGGGAACAGCTTTTGAGATAGGTGGCCCCAGGGCGTACAACATGTTGCGAAGAAAAGAAAGTAGACCGCCCATCCCCCACCGTGTTTCCCCCCGATCATATAAACTACGCATGCAGGTTGTCGCGGTGATACACACAATAAACAACGATACACTCATGTCAGATTTATTGTTGCACTCTCNGTGGCGGCAACTCGCTGGCGTTTCCCCCCTCCCCCTTCAAAAAAGCATCATAACACCACCGGTGGGAACAGCTTTTGAGATAGGTGGCCCCAGGGCGTACAACATGTTGCGAAGAAAAGAAAGTAGACCGCCCATCCCCCACCGTGTTTCCCCCCGATCATATAAACTACGCATGCAGGTTGTCGCGGTGATACACACAATAAACAACGATACACTCATGTCAGATTTATTGTTGCACTCTCCGCACCAAGTCAAAACTGTAGTCACAAACCCTTGTGCGTTTCGCAGTGTGTCGTTTTGCCCTCGGTACGGTGACCCTCTCCCTGGTCGGCCTACTCTAAACCGATGACGGAACTCATGTGCATGTGGCACACCGGTGCTGTGTCACTTTGGCCGATTGGCATGACTCCCGGATTAATATTCTAAACCTCAGCGAAATATACACGGGTGTGTATTCTTGACATATGTAGTTTCCGCGACACGGCCCTTCGAAGTATGTCGGATAGAAGAAAACCGATCGAAAATAGTAAGACCAGTTGCGACGGGTGTGAACTGCTGCCCGTCAACATTCGAAATTTGGGTCACCTTTGCGCGTAAACACGAGCGAGAGTGCATTACGATCGCTGCCAATCTCACCCGTTCTTGCTACCTTTCTCCACCTTGTTCCCGTGCACCCCTGGCCCAGTTTCGTCGAAGGACAACCTGGGGACCCACTACCGTCGGGCAGCCAAGACGAAGACGCCATCGAGTACCTTCTGGACGGAGTCTACCACATGCAATCCGGAACGGGGAACGCAGAGGACCCGATCGAGTTGNGCACCGAGGTTGATCGGTCGTCCAACGCGATCCGGATGTTCACGGGGGCCGGCGAAATTCAAAGCCGAGCACAGGTGAAGAAGGAGACTGCTGCTGTAGCGGCCGCCAATGCGCAACTGCAGGCCCGCCGCGTCCAGGAGACCAACACAGGCAAGCTGGTGACGGCCGTGGAAGCTCTGTCGGCGGCTGTTGTGTCGAGGCAGTCTTTGGATGAAGAGGCCGCAGGCAGGGCTCGCTTGGCGGACGCTCGAGAGGCCAAAAAGGCGAACATTGCAGACTCAAGGGGATGTTGGAGTATGCATCATTCGAACAAAAAAAGATGGAACTGCGAGCCGCAATAGTGGCCGCGTGCGAGCAGCCCGACAGCTACTTCTTGGCCAAACCCATCTCGGCGGCGACACCACCCGGCGCAGGAGCTGCACTCCGTACGTCCGCTTCTACTCTGCCTGCTGCGGCAACACTCGCATCTACGGCCAGGGTAGGAGGCAGCCCAGCCCCTATGTCGTCCTCGCCCGCGGCGGCTACACCCGTGTCCGCGGCGGGGGTAGCTTCCAGCCGTACGCCCGTGTCGTCATCGCCCGCTACGGCAACGCCTACTTCCTCTGCTGCGGTAGTTGCCCCCGTCGTCTTGGGCGCAGCACGGTCTGCAACACGGTCCGCCCTCCTGGAATTCACCGGGGCGCGGAAGAGGGTTGGTGTTGGTGCGGGAGCGGCACGTCCCGTTGCTAGCGCGGCTGGACACGTGAGAATTTAGAAAGTGTGTGTGTGTGTTTTTTTGTGTACGGGCTAAATTATGACGGCCATGCTTGTCATGCCCTCTCCCCCTCTGTCCCCTTGTGCCCAAGTTTTATTGTAAAGACGTTGTTTGCACCGTCCGACATGCCTTCCCTTTGGGTGTTTTTTTTTCTTGCAGCGGTTGTGTGTTTTTTTGGCGTACGGGCTATACGGCAGTAACGCTTGTCATCCCCCCCCCTCCCCGTTGTTCCCACGTTTTTTGTAAAGACGTCGTTGCACCGTCCGACATGTCTTATCTTTGGGTGTTTCATTTGTCTTGTAACGTTTTTTTTTTTTTTTTGGTGTGCGGGCTATGGCAGCCATGCTTGTCATGCCCTCTCCCCCTCCGTCCCCTTGTGCCCAACAATAAAACTTGGCAAGTTTCATTGTTAAGACAGACGTTGTTTGCACCGTCCGACATGCCTTCTCTTTGGGTGTTTTTTTTTCTTGTAGCGGTTGTGTTTTTCTGTGTCGTACGGGCTACGGCAGTAACGCCTGTCATGCCCCCCCCCCCCCCCCCCCCCCCCCCCCCCCCCCCCCCCCCCCCCCCCCCCCCCCCCCCCCCCCCCNGTGCCGTCATGGTATGCAACGAGAACAAGGAGGAACCAGTAGAACATAGATGGAAGTGGGGGATCGAGGAGATTGCAGTAGTGGACCAGTACACAATTGATTCGCGGCAAACTTACCGTACTTTGCCACGAACCATCACGAACTCGTGGACTAGACTATTTTGTCTCAATGATGATGAACGTCTGTCTCTCTTTATTTCTCGCCTGACTGTTTCTGTCGTGCACCCTTGTTTCACATCAACATTTTGACGGACCTTGTGTTTCCCATGCCGGGGGCAGTTCGTTTGGAACGCAAACAACCCGGCGAAACCTTTTATTATTTGCAGGGCAACTTGTGATCAGTGCGTGGTGGAAGATCGCCGTATTGGAGAACAACTGAGACAAGGACGGGGGGGTTCCCTTTTGTCTTGTTCATTTTGTTGCTAAGTGAAGGCTCTCTTGGGACTGGACAAACACGACACGGAATTGAGTGCCATGTGCACGGCTTCCATGCACAACTTCTTATTCGCTGTGGAAGCAAATATAGACCATATCACTCCTCGCCTTCCAACGGAAAGGGCAACCTCACCAATTCAACCTCGCGATGCAGGACCGAGCCCGAGCATCATCCATGACTCAAAACGTTTGGGAAAGCTGGCAACGCTACCCCCAATCCCTGGACAAATTCTGCGCGAAAAGTAGCCTTTCCTGGGAATCCCATTTTCAGGAGCTCGTTCACGAGCATGGGTACCTCAGGGCCAAATCAACCTCGAGGATAGTCATTTTCCCCCTTCGGTTGACTTACTTATCGTCGCCATGCTAACTCGCAGTGTTGTGTTGTACGCCTATCTTTCACGCGGGAGAGAAGGGAAATCCTGGCAAGGCATTCCGTGGCTCGTAGGACTACTTGACAGGGGAGATACTTCCTTCTTGTAAACTGCAAGGGCGTAGTGCACCCCATCAGAGATCACGACCACGTTCGTCGCGAGCGAACTGATTTCAAATGGACCACAGCAAAGGTTGGAAGCCAACCGCCACCAATACTTGTGGCTACAAAATGGGGAGCACGAAAGCCCATTATTGCTACGATAGAAATCGTGAAGACCTTCCGGTACCAGATTCGAAAACATGTTGAGACCGAGATGCTCGATGTCCATAACACATGGCACACTCCTGGTAGCCGAATGCCCTCGTGTCAAGAGGGAAGCTGCTGTATGGACTACATGTACAATACGAGAGGCGTACGTATGTTCCCTCTCGCGGCCTCACAGCGTATCTAATGCGTAACGGGTGCACGCACTAAATAAGCACCCTATGAATGCTTCGGAGGGGTCTTCGTGCTTCCTCGAAGAGGTCTACGTGTTGGGGCTTCACGTTTAAGGCCGCTGAACAGACTCCCCACCAGCATCCCCGTGCCCCGCTTCGGGCGTACACTTCCCGGCGCTCCAAATCCTTGCGCAAACCAAACAATACTGCCGTCTGTCGACCGAGTATTTACAAAAAGACTCGTTGAGGAGGCAAACTGTTCGTCGGAATAGGTCTCCGCGTCTACTCAGCAAGAGGACACTCGAAATCCTTGCGCAAACAAAACAATACTGCCGTCTGTCGACCAAGTATTAATGAAAGACCCGTTGAGGAGGCAAACCGTTCGTCGGAATAGGTCTCTGCGTCTACTCAGCAAGAGGACACACGCATCCCTGCTTTCAACTCGACCGAGGCTCGTAGAAAACATCAGCACCAGGTTCAATTCAGCTAATACAGACGTGTTCTACAAAACGAGTAGACCGGTATGGCACCAAAGTTGCGCCTTGCTCGGTTCTCCGAGCTTATGCTGAACGTGCACGCCATAAGGCGAAAAAATCAGTGATATCCGTGCCCGGACACAACACTTCGAAGCAAGCACGGTATTTATCAGTAGCCATGCGAGTGTGTAAGTCAACACCGATAGGAAGCTTTATTAGCTGACGAAAAGGCAGGCGTTTTCTAAGGTCAGGCCTGGGCCAACAGCTTCTTGTACGCCGACATATATTGGTCTTCGCCCAGCCCCGCCATGGCAGCACTTCGATGAGGGGACCCCCCTTCCCCTGCTTCTTCTCTCCCTCGAGCAGCTACGGGACAAGGGTTGGGGTCGGGAAAGCAGAGCGAATGTTGAAGGCTGGATCGTAGTTCCATAGCAAAAGACGGCAAACAAGCGTGTTGGATCCTGGTGGCCACAGCCAGTGATAGCTGACAGCTACAACAGCCATTGATATTCGCCCATGGCACGTTGAGCCAGGGCAATGTGGACACTTGTGTGATATGCAAGAAACTGTATTGCTTTGGAAAAAGAAGCGTTGCGTTGGTATAATAGAGACAATGAAGACGGTGGGCATTCTCCAGTCCTCGTCACCAGGAACGGCAGAGAAGGCACAGGCGCGGCACATTGCGAGCTCCTCTTCTTTCGCTGAACATCAAGTAAACGAGGCGACGATTGTGGAAGCATGCGCTTTCTACTCAGAGCACGCGATCATTTCTGACATCGCGTAGAGAGTAGGTCATATTCTTCTTTTTCTCTCCCCATCTAAATCTTACCCTTTTGACAACGCTTGGTAGGATAGCAGGGTATACGGGAGGAATTTTCCACGCTCCTCCGGCGATGCTAGCCTTCAATTTGTGACGCGAGAAGGGTGCGGCACTGCCGTCTCTCAACACACTCGTAACTCTTCATGTGCTGTCGAGTATTTTTCATTGCACCGGAGAGATCGACCTGCGGCTGTAACGTCAGGTTATGAGCATACCCCGACTGAACCACCTAGCCACCGTAATGTGACCGAGGTTGACGTTTATCAGTTGTATGTATGTGTAGGACGTGCATGGTAGACATCTTGCGTGCCTTCCTCCGCGAAACCGTGGGGAAAATCTGGTTGTCTAAGCAAACGGTCATGATCTTGCCGTTTACACAGGCAGTGCTGTCAACAAAGAGACATATTGAAGCAACGCGTGGGAAACCACAAGGTAGGCCAAACCCGGCGCAGAAACATAACACAAGCGCGACGGGGCGGGCCGTGTTGATGGGGCAGAGTACACACTTTGTAGACACGAGGCGGACGTTGCCGCACGGGTACACAAGCTGTCGCCGCCGCCCGTTGCTGCTGCTAGGATTTCGCATTTAGAACTGCTACCTCGCAGTTGTTGTTGTCTTCACATTAAAAACCATCCCGGTCTCTCTATCCAGTACCCCCTTCTGTCTCAATCTCTCCGTACTAATCCAGCACTTGACTCGGTCAATTTCCCTGGTCACAGGCTAACGTACCTAGAAAAGGTATACCAAAATAAAATGGACCCCAAGGGTTAGCAGAGCGATAAAAAACAAGAAAACAAAAGAATCAGGAACAAATAAATAAAAAAATAATGCCAAATTCAAACGTCGTGTTTGGCAATGTCTGTGCCTCGTTTACAGCAGGAGTCAGGACGAACCTGCTACGGTGTTGGGCTGCCGATCTCTTGATCATACTTGAAACATAAACTTGGTTGAAACATCCCGCACTTGAACTGCTTGTGGTGTGCATGTCGTGTCGAACAGGAGGCCAAAAGATGCAAAATGGTTGCGCATACATGGGAAGGGCATATCGAACACCACGAGAGCGAACGGCACTGGGCTCTCCTACTAATGTTTGTTACCTCTTATCTCTTCGACCTCCGCTTGACGCTCAAGGGCGAGGCGATCTCGCCGGAGCCTGTTGGCGAAACATCGGTACGCCACCACCACGGTCACCAGGGCCGCAGAGAGCACGAGGGGAAGAACGATCACGCCTATCTGCACTTCATCGGGACCTTCGCTTCGCAGAGTGTCGGCCGCCGCCAGCTCGGCATTCATAGAGGATAGGACGATCTACCACAGACATTTGAGTGCTGCTGTGTTGACATCGGCTGAGTGAGACGGGGGTCTCAATGATGAGGCGGCATGTCCTGCTGCTGGGGAGAATTCCAACAGTCCCGCCGCGGACAAACCGCAGACAGACCTCTCTCCCGCACCTGGCCATCATCCTTGTGACTACAAGAAGGACAATGCGAGCTTTGGTGGTGTCTTGCGCGTTCCACTCTCCGTGTGTGAGTCCATGGGTAAGAATCCATCACTCCTCTAACTACATGTTTCGAAGGACCACGGTGCACTCTGGCGGTTTTGCGACTGCTGTCCTCTCAGAGGCATTGCCCAAGGAGAGCATGTGCATCTTTGACCAAGCAACGGCGGTCATGATAGCAGGCAATGAAATCTCGCGAACATTCGGTTGGCCGTCTGACTGACAAAGGGCTAAAACTACTTGTCCGCCCAATGTATCCATTTTAGGTATCGGTTTGGTATTTATAGACTATTGACTAGTCACATTGTAGACTTGCGTTTCGTGTTCCGTATCTGGCGCACTTCATATTGACGTCTAAGCTTGAAATCCCACCAGCTGTACGTACTCACCTGTACAAATAGCATGCAATCCCAGTTTCGCGTGGCCGAGTCAGAGCTTGCGTTTATCCTGTCCGTTTCAGCGAGCGATGACGAAAACCATAGCAACCCCTGGCTAGAGCTGGTGACATTGAGTCTGAAATTCAAATATGCCGCGTCTGCCTCCTCCAATTTGGATCATGCGTGCGATTGTTACTCGTGCCGCAGCGGTTTGCCTCACGGGCGGGAGTGGTCATTCGGCCGTGCTCGGCAGCGCTAGACGGCCCCGGAGGGCCCATCACCGAGGCGTCCGTGCGAAAACGATCGCAACGCGGGCCGCCGGTCTTGCTCAGAGACATCTTCGGCACGCGAAGCCCATGGCTAGGCATGAAGAGGCTAGAGCGAGCTCCCTTACAGCGTCTTGATCGCCTACAAGAAGTAGCAGATCTAGCCCTCGAGGATAGGGTGGAGTCTGGCGGCGGATCTTTCGGCTGTGCGGACATAGGAGCAGGTGAGTATTTTGCTTGTGGGGAATGCGTTGTACGTTTGCTGACGTTAGGCGTCCGTGTTCTTGAGAGTTGCAGCTCACCGGTAGGTTGTGTCGATGTCTTGCACACGCTGGTCGTGCCGTTGTTGGCGCTTGACGCGAGACCACGTACTTGATCAGGTCGTGCTACCAGAGGCTCTTTGAGCCGATGATTGAGTTATTCACTTCGAACGTTCTTGTGTTTCTGCCGCGGTCTTGCCCCATACTCACATTCAACACCTTTGCAAAAAGCCTCGTCGCCGATCTCGCCAATGCATAGAAGAAGTTGTTGCTCAACCACGGTGGCTTATTGCTGACCACGTTTTCACCGACTCTGCATCCCTCGTCCTGCGAGCTGCGTCCAGATCACGGACTACTCGCGATCTGCCTGCACGCCAACGGTGCGAACGTCATCGCTGGCGATAGGGCGGCCGGGCCCCTGAACATCGCACGCGAAAACGCCAGGCTCTACCTGAGACGCGCTCAGCAAGCACCTTTCTCCGTGCTCGCCACCGCGGCTGCACAAAGGATAGCACCCGCCGGTAAAAGCGAGTATACGAGGACCCCCGATCCTACTGCTGAAACGCTTCCCCAACCAATAAATGAAGGTAGTAGCGGCGACGGGGTAGGGAATGAGGGGGCTGTCGCGCACGGGGTTGTCCCGCGCTTGGAATGCCGTCTTGGTGATGGGTTAGCCGTTCTGGAGGAAGGCGAAGCGGACACCGTGTGCATCGCGGGGGTAGGTGCGTATCTTGTTTGGGTTTGTGACTGCTGGTTGTTGCGTTCATTTTGTTCGAACTTCGTTCTTGAGTGTGCTTGTCGCTTTCTCCGTATCCTTTGTGCTTGGGCAACCTCCACTCTTCGACAAATCGAAGAGACGATATGGGTGCGCCAACCGTTTGATACCTCGTTTGGCCGATGGATATCCGTAGGACACCATTTTCAAGCGGCCAGCAACGTCTGTGTACCTTACTATCGTTGAAACAAGAGCTCTGTTTCCAAGGGTATTGCATCATCGTTTGCGTTCTCGAGGAATTTTGTCCTCGTTGGCTGTTGTCCCTACACCTGCTCAACGAGCTTGTATTTTCACGCGAAACGCTTTGGACTCTTTTTTCAGGTGTCAAGACGATAATACAGATTCTCAGCGCGAGTACGAGCGACAGCAGTGGCGACGCAGCGAATAGCCAAGAATCTTCGCATGGGCGGGGAGCTTCTGCGCTGTCTCGTTTAGGAGTGCGGCGGCTTGTGCTGCAGCCGATGGACGCTCGACTGGAATATATGCGCGACCTACGCGTGTGGTTACGAGGAAATGGTTGGCGAATAGCACAGGTGGGGTGCCCATCTGCGACTTTCAGGCAATGGTTGTACCTGATCGAAACATGTGTTTGGCCTTCTGGGGTGGCATTGCCATTGCATTCATGTACATGGAGTCAGCGAAAAGTATGGCCGAAAAAATCCAAGGGCTTTGCATTTTCTGCGTTTCCACGCCTTGATCATCGGCGTATCACCTTGCTCCACACGGCACCTGTGGTTTCTGTAGACAAGCAGAGTCAACTGTAGCCGACATCACGCTCACAAACGTTGCTGTTGCGCCTCCTACGCTAATGCCCCCTTTACCATCTGCAGGAAAAAATCGTGTCCACACTGGGCAAGGGGGGCCGACACGCTTTTCTGACGCTACGGGCCGACTGTATGGAAATGAGCAGCGTAAAAAGTGACCAGGGGGTTTCACCCTTCTCTGGACCAGAATGGCCAGCAGGCATGCCACAGGGGGAGTGGTCAGACTGGCTTGGGGACTTTCTGCCTTCGCGAACCATGGACTCCAACCAGTTGCGCGACGGAGGGCGAGATACAGAACGGCAAGAGGCGTTCACGTTTCTTGCGTACCTGAGGCACCAGCGAGACTGGCTGACGGCCATCGAGCGTGCACGTTCGCGGACGAGCCGCAGGGTGACTGCCGAAAGCCAGGACTCCACTGCTGTTTCGGAGGCCGTCGGCAGCGTGTTGAGAGCCGTCGAAGATGCCATCAGAGTATCAGGGAAAGATGGGTCGGAAGAGAGGCTTGTTACGTCGCGACGGTGGAGGAGATCTTCTGGCAAAACCGATTAGTATGAAGTGGGAGCACACGGCTGCGATTATGTTTGACTGCAAAAACATAACGTGGGGTCTGAATTTGAAACGCCCACAACCATGCTCGAGGATAGACATGTGTACTTATACAACGAGATCTGCAGCGCCGGTGTTTGCTTCTGGGCGACTGATGCGCGCTTCGTCCCACGTGGTTCAGCTCGACTTTCTTAAGATGGCTAACAACGTTTTTAAGAGCGAAGAGTACATGATTATGATCTCAGGCTCTGTGGTGGTGTATGCAGCTTGGTATGGACCGAAGACGAGGCAAGCCGACCAAAGCGCCATGCAGGCATCTCCATGTCCATCTGATCCACCGTGGAACAAAGCGGTGGCCATGCTCACCTCCGGTCCAAGAAGAAAAGATAAAGTATTTCGCGCGAAGCGCGAAAAGAAGGGGTGGAGAGGTAGATCAAAGCAAGCGTAGATAGATATGGATGGAGCCTACGCCACAGAGGTCACCAGTGCACACGCTCACACATTGGCCGACACCACCAGTCAGTCAGGGGATGACTGAGAGCGCTGTTTAGCTCTGATAATCATCATCTACATGAAGCTGCAGCATCAACAGCAGCTGCAGTTATTGCTGCTGCCGGCGTGCAGGATGGGTGTGCGCTTACTTTTCCCGCTTTCGCTGCTAACGGCGGGCAACGGGCCCAAAAAATCGCCTCCGATGCCTCCTACGATGTGTGTATTTGGTCGCCCTTGGCCTACAGTGTTGTGTACGGTTCACTTCATCTCTGTTTTGGGGGTGCTTCTGTGGTGGAAGCAAAGGTCGGCCTCAGACGGGACAGATTTTGCTTGTGTGCACTCGCATGCCCCCTCGATTCCGCTGCACGCAGCAGGCCTTGGGGTCTCAAAATAGCTTCCGACGCCAGCCATGATGTGTGCCTTCGGCCGGCCTTGGCCTACAGCAGTGTGTACGTCTCGTTGTCTCTGTTTCGGGGATGCGTCTGTGTGGAAATCTCCAAAGATCGGTAGGTTGAGTATGATGCAGGCGGACCGCAGATTGACTTGCGTCGTCACTCGCTTGTACTGCCGACAGCAGGCAACGGGCTGTAAAAGTCACACCTAACGCCTCCTATGATATATGCCTTGGCTGCCCTTGGCCTACAGCACTCCGTATGCTGCCGTGCTGGTTGTCTCGTCTGTTGTCTGCGTGGTGTGTGTGGTGCTGCTGTGCAAGAGGATTTCGGGGATTCTCCCGAGAGTGTCCTGCCCATCGCCCAATCATCTGTCTCTGTCTTACACAATGTCTTACACAATCGACGGGTGATTGGTGGGAGATGGGTGTCTACCCGATTCTACCCCGCCAAAACATAGATAATGGTTGGAAGTTCTTCCGTGTCTTACGAAAAAGGTCCCTCATGCATGGGTGCTCTGCCATACTCCAGGAGATTGTCTCCGCCCCCAGTCGCGATGCATGGACACACGTAACGCTCGCTTGCTAAGGTTCGAACAAGTTTCGTACAGCACAACTGCCACCTCTGCCTGATTTTCCGCGAAAGGGAGCCGCAAATACGCGTGTACCAGCCATGCCCCGCCGCTGAAGCGAGCTGACCTCAAAACAATCGCTAGAACAATATTTTCGTGGGTTTTTGATTGATGTGGCGGAAACATGCGATTCACGTCGCGGTTGCCGACCACGTTGTCCACCATAGGTTAGAAATTAGGCCGTCGGGTAACAAACTCGATCTCCCTAGCGCACGAAATACACGTTCATTCGTCTCAGGTCACGTCTAAGCTTCATCGGAGATGCAAATCGGGAGCCGAGCGGGAACTACCAAGCCACCCCCAGATCAATCTCCGATCAAACAGAAGGAAAGCGGACCTCACAGAAATGCCACCGGCAAACGACATCAGACTGTGTCAGAACGATGTGGCGCTGGGCCCGTGCACCGTTGGGTTCCTCCAGAGGGTGGAGCAAATGGCCGCCAAACAGAAAAATACCAGAGCTTGGTTGATGCACCAAGGGCTAGAGTGAGGTAGAACTGTTGTACTACCTCACAAACGTTTTGCCCAGGATACCCCACATGGCTTATTTGGTGCGCACAAATCATATAGGCCAGGGCTTCAACTTTGAAATTCGAAGTATTACCAGCTGCGACTCTGCAGACGATTCACAAACATATATAGGGTCTCGAGTAGTATCACACGTCATGTTCCAAACGTCGCCTTTGTCGTCTATAGAATTCGGGATGAACAGCATTTCCGAGGCTTCCAGAGTAGAGCTCAATCGACAAAAATGCGAACAGCAACGAAGGGCATTGAACCATCTGCAGGCAAAGCTAGCACGCCGTTGTACCTTTTAGCCAAACTTCAGCTGTAGAACACAGAGACACTACACGATTCAGGTTAGCCATGCTACCTGCCTAGTGCCCATACTCTACACATGGGGAAACGAAAACTGATGTACATATAGGGGGCTGGTGCATTGATGTCGTGTTCTCGCTGGGTCGACAGATGCGACCAATTCCTGCCGTCTACACACCACGCCCCCCGGCTACAGCCACCAAATCAAAACGCTATAGGCGCAACGCCTCCTCCAAGGTCTACTGTAGCCAGTCCACCATCGGCCTCCCGACGTCATTTTGGGTCCTCCCCTCACAACCACACGTCCGTCATTAGCTGGTCGAAGAGGACAAGCTGAAGCGTTCCGGCGATGATGCCAGCGGAGAGGTCGGGTGGCAGCCGGCCTTAGACACCACGCCCCTCCCGGCTGCCGCCACCGCATCAAAACGCTATAGTCGCAACGCCTCCTCCAAGGTCTACCGTAGCCAGTCCACCATTGCCCCCCTGATGTCATGTTGGGTCCTACCCTCACCACCACCCGACCGTCCTAAGCTGGTCGAAGATGACAAGCTGGAGCGTGCTGGCGATGATGATGCCAGTGGAGAGGTCGGGTGGCAGCCGGCCTCCCTCCCGATTCTGGCCTTCTGATCGTGCACCGATCGTACCACCTCGTCCTCCTCCTCGAGCTGCCGACAGAAATCCTCTCCGAATGTCTCGCGCAACTCCAAAGACGCCTGCTCGTCCAGCTTCCAGTTGTCGGTCGAAGGCTCGCTCTCGTGGGGGCAGACTTGTTGGCGGCTTGTCCAGGAGCTAACATAGGTGGCAGGACGATCCGGCAACTCCGCACCCAATGCTGTTGTCGTCAAACCCATAACCACGACGGCTGCAACACGTCTGCGTGTTCGAGGATTCATCGTGCCAACGTCCGAATGCGGCGCAAGGCAACGGTTCACGGAGCTTGGATGTCCGTGGGCATTTGGCAGAGGCCCGGACAGCAGCGTGACAACGGCGGCGGAACCTGCAAATTGCGGCGAGATTAATGGGGGATACGTGAATAGATCGGGAACTTGAGCTAGGTACGGGGCAGGCCAAACTGCCGAGGGGCCGACACACACCCACCCGCGGTCCCACCCAGCTACACATCGAGCAGCAGAGACAGAGAGAGGGAATCACAACCGATCAGAGCTTCCCCAGGAGAGTGGAAGGTTTGCCGACTGCAAGGAAGACCCGAGCCCGTGCTAGTTTATTCTACCAAGATCTGTTGGTTCTCGGAGCGGCAGATCAAAACGCGATTTCAAAGACAGCAGGGGCGTTCGGGAGTGCGGCTGGGAGAGGCGAAGCCGGGGAGCTACAGATAAGAGCAGCGAAGAGTGGCAGACGATGGCGACACCCGTGAACCCGAAGCCCTTCTTGAATGAGCTCACAGGGAAGCCGGTGATGGTGAAGCTGAAGTGGGGCATGGAATACAAGGGTGAGTGCAAATTTCTTGATTTTGAAAATATCCATGGCCGCGCTTGTCTATAACCTGCAACTGCTGTGCACGTGAGCAGCAGCTCAGGCGATAGCGCAATATGTCAACACAACAGATACTTTTCCATCCACTAATAAACAATGCATTCTCCCCTTGGAACGGTTGCAAAGAGTTCGGATCTTGCGCAGTCGACAAAGCAAGTGCCCGCTCACAGTTGTCGTTATTTGTCGGCGTGCAGGCCCCGTTGCTATCTATGACAACCTGTGTTGTATTCCTGGTTCCAGCTATGCCGCCTCTCTCCTCTCTCGTCCTCAGTTCCCCATTATATACTTTTACGTGGGTGCCTCCTACGTCGGGAGAGGGTTGAGCTTACGTTGGGCACTTGTTGCAAACAAACGTGAATTCGATTCGCATTACCGCTGTAGACGTACTCGGAGAAAAACTCTCTTGAGTATGCTAGATGCTAAAGCTGCTGTTGTGCGTGCAATCTTGTCCTGTACATACTGATATACCGACCGCTGCAGAGAGATCACGTCCACGGAGATGGCGGCGTATGCGCGTAGAAGCATGACCCGATGCTGATTCCTTCTTCACCACTAGGTCGACAACATCAACAACTGGCCGGATCAATTTGTACCAACACGCTCCATCTGAAGGATTTGAAAAAATTTCAACTACAGCAGTTCTCCAGTTGGAGCTGGACCATAGCCGGAGCATAGCTTCATGCTATCTGTTGTCGACAAGAGCTATTTTTATCGCAGTTGTGAATTGAACCATTTCTGCAATACACCGGACACGTAAGGCGAGATAAGAATGTGTCTGCTCCTTAATTGCTGATGAGCGATGCCCCACATCGTCCTCGTTGATCTCCATATTGCCGGTGCAAAGACGAGCTTCTGCTCTTCAATATCCTCCCTTATCCCGCCTGCAGCTGATACTAAAATAGTGTCTGCTCACGTGCGCCGACATCGCGGGCCGAAGAAGTAAGAAAACACGCGAGCGGCGACAGTTTCTTCCTAGCACTATCCGTGCTGTTGCGCTGCCGCATGTGCCCCTTTACCAACATAGATCAGTTGTTTTTCGCCAGTCATACAACGCTCTGCTACGGACATTGTGAGGGGTGTGATGGCTCGCCGTGAATATTCCGCGACAAATGCACCGACAAAGTTCTGTTGGTTCACTGTTGGCCGCACCATTTTTACTCTTCTTCCCTTCGAAGGCGCCGACATGCCTACAGGAAGGCAAGCCTCCGATACTCTTGAGTTGGCAGAATTGGTTGCTCGCATGTTTAACCGAACGAGGATTGCACCTTGTGCGGCTTTCCACGCCTCGACTCGGCCGGCCGCCCCGCCGTCACGGTGCAAAAACTTTTACTGGGTAGTTTTGGACGAATCCATCTCTCGCTTCTCGCGAAAAAAACGCCTTGCGTTTTCCCTTTTCCGTTTTTGTTTGTTTGTTTGTGCCACTGGTTCGTCGAAACCGCGTCCAACAAACCCGACGTGCTTACTTCCTGCTTTACTCGCTTCTGTCCTGGCAACGTACTCAACGTGCGAGGGAAACCGAAAAGCTGTCACTGTACGTGCGGCCGCACCCGCCGCGAAGCCGATCAACGTACTCTTAAGAAAGGGAAACGCAACACTTGTTCCATTTTAACAACCTTATGCGACCTAGTCGCCAACTACTTCAGGCTGAAACGACGAATGAGGCCGGTCTGGCCGCAGTTGTAGCGTTCCTGCTGAGGGCACGCGCGAAAAGAGTGCTTTCCGGCTTTCCGGCCGCGGAGCACCTCCAGCAAGTCGGGGCTCCGACTCCCCTACCACCCCCGCGGCCACCTTGGCCGCGGCCGCGGCCTAAATCGCGGCCACCGTCCCTGCACTGTGACGGTCCATACTTGCGTTTCTGCCTGAACTAGTTCGCATACTTGCGTTTCTGCCTGAACTAGTTCGCGAGTAGGTTGCATCAGGTTGTGGACCACGGAGTTTGTGTTGAGATGCCGTTTTGAGAGCAACCTAGTCGACTTCGCGGCGGGTTCGGCCGCACGTACACTAGTAGCTTTTCGGTTTTCCTCGCACGTTGGGTATATCGCCAGGACATAGGAAGAGAGTAGAGAAGGAAGCAAGCACGTCGATTTTGTTGGGCGCGGTTTCGACGAACCAGTGGTACAAAAAAAGTAACGAAATGAGGGAAATGGAAGGCGGGTTTTTCGCGCGAAGCGAGGGATGCATTCGTCCAAAACAACCCAGAAAATGCTTTTGCACCGCGCCGGCGGGACGACCGGCCGCGTCGAGACACCGAAAACCGCACAAGGTGCGATGCGCTTTTGGCAAAACGTGCGAGCAACCAATTCCCTAAGTAAACGTACCCGGCGGATCTCTGGATTTCACGCTTAACGGCAGTATTGCAGGACCCACCGATGGTTGTGCGTAATTGAAGGGTCCGTTTTGATCCAACAGACCAGAGGAACTTGTTGTGATGAATGCTTTGCGGTGAAGCTCCAACAGCATCACTAACCAAACGGTTGTGATGCGCCTCTTCAACTCTGCTCGAGTAATATTCTGGCGCACTGGCTGTGAATCCTTATCCTTGGGCCCTGTAGCGGCGAACGCTGGAGTGGTGTCACGTAATAGCAAGAGAGGCAGTTTTTCGACTATCGGTTTTGTGGCGGAAATGATCTGGCGTTGTTCCTGTGTTTAGGGCCGATATATTTTTGCTTCAGCGACGTGATTTTTCGCACCCACCGCTGATTTCGAACGTACAGAGCCTCGTCAAGTGTTGTCCAAAGCTGAGTGAGCTGTGGTACGTTCATATTGCCATTCGCACGTTTGATAATATATTTGTACTCACAGCCGTATTTCACATGAAGGAGAGCGGAGGAGAAAAGGTACCCACGACTTATGCTCCTTCGTTAATGTTCGAAAAATTCTCAGTTAGGAGGAGCTGTGTGCCCCATCTCCAAGAGTGATGCGTGATCAACGGTCGACTTATTGCGGCGAGCAACAAATGACAATACCCCCCCCCCACGCATGTCCTTTCTCCCAGGATTTCTGGTGTCGGTAGACACGTACATGAACCTCCTTCTCACATCGACGGAGGAGTATGTGGACGGAGAGTTCGCGGGCAACTTGGGGGACGTGCTCATCCGCTGTAACAACGTCTTGTACCTTAGGGGGGTAGAAGATGACGAGGCCAACGCAAAAGCGGATGGGGCCGAGGGGGTCAATGGGATGGACGAGGAGGAAGATGAAGGCTGAGACGGGGATGAGCCCTAGATTCGTCGGGCAGGGGGGCGCGGGGGCGGCTCGAGGCAGTGTTTAGCAACATTCCTGAGAGCCTTGACGCATTTCTTTTTTCAGGTCGATAGTGGGGCTCGGAATATCTTGGTTTGGCCATCGATTTGACCTGGTGTCCTCGAACACAGCGTACACCGTGATCCCTTCCATTTACCTTCGCTTGATGAGGGGGATTTTCTCGAAGGGGTTAGACATGTGCTGGGCATCGGCTTGATTTTTACCAAGTTAGAGTAAAGCCGGAAGTGACTTCTTGGCCACATGATTTCAAAGGAGTACTGATTGGAATGAACGGTAACCCTTGGCAAAACTTTTCCATTGTAACATTTCAATGGACCTTTGAACGTGACCATTCGAAGCGTCTTGGTGGGCGCGTTAACCCCCGTTTCGTGCATGATGTCAATCGTTTGTTGGAGAAATACAAGTGATTTCTCATGTATGGGCTCATGAGAACACAGTCAGTCGTGTTATCAATGGGGTGATGCAAGATGCTGGACCAGCCCATAGCTGAATGCCAGCTGCTAGGTGGTTGTGACGTGCCCAAGCTCGACAGCTCGCACAGCTGACGTGTTGAGTGCTGGGACGCGAAGAGCCCAGCGAACCTTAACGAACCCAACAGAAAATTATGCAAATCTTTAAGAAAGCAGGCCCACGCATGATGCACGACGAGGGCGGTGAAGCTCGATGTACTGAGTCCATTGATCGGACCCCATACCACGAAGTTACTGCATCTGCATCCGCTACACAAGAGGTGATGATGTGCACCGGTGTGCAGTTACACGATGAGCGATGCACGATGAACGATGAACCTCACAACCTGGCGACCTGGGCCTTCGCCACTCAAAACAACCATCTAGTCGATGCATTTGATTTGTTGTTGTTGTTGTCTTCACATTAAAAACCATCCCGGTCTCTCTATCCAGTACCTCCTTCTGTCTCAATCTCTCCGTACTAATCCATCACTTGACTCGGCCGATTTCCGTGGTCACAGGCTAACGTACCTAGAAAAGGTATACCAAAATAAAATGGACCCCAAGGGTCAGCAGAGCGATAAAATACAAGAAAACAAAATATAATCAGAAACAAATAAAATAAAA